AGAAGAAGAAGAAGAAGTAGAAGAAAAAGCGAGGAAGAAGAAGAAGAGGAAGTAGAAGAAGAAGTAGTAGTAGTAGAAGAAGAAGAACAACAACAAGAAGAAGAAGAAGAAGGAAAATTAGGAAAGAGAGACTACAGTGAGAGACCAGAAACGCACCTCTTCTTCTATCCTTGGGCATCTTTCCTCAAAGTGTGGTATACGTCCTTCTAGAGTCTTGCGTTCAGACTGAAATGCTTCGCAGGCAGTTTGGACTTCCTGTGAGACCTCGAGCAGTCTTTCGTTTTCCGATTCCAACTTCAGGATTTCCTCTTTATAACTCTCAATAACATCATTGGCGTCACACAGTTCTCCGTCCAGAGCTGAAAGTTCCAATTTAGCCTCGTCCAGTTGACTACTTGTCAGGTCGTGCTTGGCTTTGAGGTGCGTCACTTTAACCTTGATATGCATAACATCTCGGTTATCATCACAACCAGAAACCAATACTTCGGAAACTCTATCTCCTCGGTAGGAAAATTTCAGATCACAACGTCAATTTATAAGGCACTATGATTAATTATCTATCAAAAAGAAGAGTGCAAGTTCAACGAACATAAGAACTTAAGATGGCAACACGTACTTTAAAATAGGCGGTTAGCAGCAAAGGAGTGAAAACTGACCTTGTGCCGTTGTTGGAGTTCAAGCATCCCCTTATCTGCTTCGGTCAGGGCCATTTGGGACCTCTACAGAGACTTCTGCAGCTCTTCCCTGGCTACTCTCTCTCAGCATCTAGATCTGCCTTTAGCTGACGAATTGTATGCTGCTGCTTCTCCACTTCAATTCTACACTTGATTATGTCCTCCTCCAATCTTTTTTCAGCTTCATGGGAACGCTCCAATTCACGCAAATTCTTCACAGCCGCCTGTTGGTTTAAATGCAGCTCAATTTCCAAATTGGCGTTCCGCCTTTTCTGTTCCTTCTTTTCCTCAAACAGCCGGCTGATTTCTTGTCGCAGGGTGGAAACCGTCGAAATCAGTCTAGACCTTGCGGCTTCCAGTCGACATGATCGACTCTGGCGGAACACATTATTCCTTTTGTAAAGAAGCTGAAGATGCGATCTCTTGGACAGTGGGTTATTAGTTTGAGATTTCGGTCTCGTACAGGAGGCCATCGTCAGAGACTGTGAGAAGGCAACATCAAATGAGCGGTTTTTTTAGTCACGCACTCCTCTTCATTCGTCTTTTCAAATATAAGCGCGCCAAAACCCAACTCATTTTTGGAAGCAAAGATGAAGAGGAAAGAAAATGACAAGCAATATACGAGTATGTGCAGTCCTCATAGTAATTTCCAATGCATTTACATATCGCAAATGGCGAATAATCAATCATCATATGGCATTTGGTCTCAATATTCAACAATAAAAGACCATGGACCAAGCAGAAAAGTTCTATATGAACTTCTGCGTGAACTTTCTTGGATGATTGGTGCTCACGTGTCGAGTGATTCTGTTCGAGAAGGGAAATTATTTTGAATTGCCGATCAGTCAGAAGTTTCTTAAGGAAAGATTTTTCCCTTTCTCCACTCATCCTGGTTAACCAGAAGGACCCACAATTCAGCTCAAAATTGGGTCTTACATCGACAGGTTAGGTTTAATCAGTTCACGTCCAGTTCGTCATTCAGCAATGAATCCGTACGCTGCAATCGATCCTGTTTGCTACGACATACATTAAAGTTAAAGAACCTTATTTTTCTTCCGCAACGCTCCATAAAATCAACCTCTCCGGACGCTTGAATGTATGGATCCTTACATTTTCCTTTTTCGGTAAGGAGAAAAGATATACAAAAAATGTGCGACTAAGAACTGCTGCAACTAGCAGGGTATAAATGGCTACTTAATTAAATGTTTATTTACTTAAGTAACAAATTAATTGCTATGTTAACTAATATATATAAGGATCGAATGTTTTACTTTCTATGTAGGAACCCGTCTTCTCTGACCATTGCGGATTCCTCGATTCATATGATATCCTTAAAAACTACATTACTACGATGTCACTTCGTCCCTTGAGGCTGCTAGGACCCGAAGTCCCCCTATAATCCACTGCCTTCAAAATTTGGAATACATTACAAACATTCTTAAATCATTGTACATTCGGAAGACTTACCGACATTGCCGATACAGTAGTAACACAGTCGTTCATAGCGCCAAATGTGTTCCTGCGCGAACGACGGTTTACAGGGTACATTATAAGAAACGTTGGTTGCAATGTCTTCTCAAGGAGTGCGCTACTATGTCTAAACTTAACAAGACTTTATATCATTTCGTTCCCAATGTGGGCATAACGCTCTGTCTGCGCCCTGAACAGGGCATTTAGCAGTCACTGCAGTCAGGAATTGGAGTCGGTCAGTCTTCGACGCACGTCCGCTTCTGCGCCCGGCGCGCGTTTATCCGCCACGGTGACGTATCCGTAAATGAAAAAGTGTCATGTACGAGCCAGTCAGCGTCAGCTTAGTAAGTTTTTTTAGGTGGATACAAAGTTTGTTGGCGTCTGCTTCTGGTTGGTCTAGGGACAGCATATGAACATGTTCCTGATGCTCGGGTACTTTGATCACATCATTGATATTGCATCATAGACAACAGATGTGGGCGATTCGAAAGTCCATAGTCTGATGA